CAGGAATGCACTGATGAAATCCTTCAACCAGCAGATGTCACTGGAGGGATCTCACTGGGTTTGCAAAGCGAGCTGCGACTTTTCAGTTTCTAGCTAGTCCTTTGATACAAAAAGAAAGAAAGAAAGGCCTCATTTTCCTGCATTTTTTTCTTCACAAATTGGGAAAAAGTAATACTCCCCGCTACATACCTACCATCCAACTCTAGCATCACTAGGGGAGTACATGCTTTTGGGGATCTGATTGAGTTTAAATTCTGCTCTAATCTGAAAACAAGCCAGACCTATGAACTCTGTGAAACTCCATCGTGTAAACAGTTGTACCCTTCCCAGTCTGCTGACTGTTTGGTAAACTGGTATCTTGGTTACATTTCAGCTCTCATTCCTAAAAAGGATCAGCTCTTACATAGTTTGTCTTTGCATCAGCAGCAGAACAAGGCCCTTGTAAACCCAAAGTACCCTACTTCAGTCTCTGGTTTACCAAGTTCCTGATAAGAACTTCTGTAACAAAAAAAATCTCCTCTTACTTTGCACAAAACATTCACAAAGCATGCATGAATATGGCATTTAAGGATATACATAGTCTATATAATACCATATTAGACCAGTATCCAATCTTTTTATAGTGACCAGAACAAGATTCTTTAAGAAACCCCATACTGAATAATTGCAGTATAGCCACCAGTAAGACAAATATCTTTCTAACCCCAACAGTCAGTGTTCACCTTAAAATCTGAACCTGGGATGATCATATTTATATAATATGATTTTAAACATTTTCAATAATATATTTTTTCCCTTTTTGAAATTTGTACCCTCTTCAGCTTAAATAAATATTTTGAGTGAATTCCAGTGTTAATGATGGTACCTAAGAAGTAATGTTTTGTTTCTCCATTCAAAGTATTTTATTTACTTCAAGGTTATTACCTTGTTCTTCCATCCCCAAATGGTAAATACAACAGTCTGATGTATTGTCTCTATTACACTCATGTTTCCTTTCTAAAACAGCTTTAGAGAAGACAAGAAAAAAAACCAAATAACTTGCTCATGCAATTGCTGTTTTTCCCAGGACTTTCACACAGCTTTGAGTTATTAGGACCATGATTCAATAAAAGGTTAAATATGCATATAAATTTAAATCAGTAAGTACAGCTTAGTCATCTTCAGTACACTTATAAGCAAGTATTTTAATGATTCAGAGCCTAATCTTCTTGTCTTTATTATTGTATCTCTGTACCTTGATGGCTTTTTACTCTTGTCATACTCTGTCAGTAATTGCTGGTCTCTCAAGAGTGTGGGTCATACAGATGCAAGAACAGGACTCATCTAGTAGATGTCAATGAATGCATGTTCACTCCATGACCCAAACACCAGGTGTAAGAAGGATCATGGTGCAGAAATACCCACTTTTCACCTGGATGCAGTAGGGCTGGGTTCACACAGCGATGCAGCTGAGTTTGGCCCCAACCAGGACTTCTCCAAGACCTCTGCAGGAAAGCCTGCCCAGTCCTGCAGGTTCTTCTGCTCAGGTTCTCTGAACCAAGCTCCATATTCAAGATTGCATCCTGACTTCCCATAGCAAAGGAGCATCCCACTGCTGCCCCCTTTTCTGTACTTCTTTTCTGTGGGGGGGGGGGGGGA